TACCATAAAACATCTACAGTTTATTATATAGCACAACTTTTCTTTTCAAATTTGCAAAAATGTTTATTAACTTTCCGCCGATCGTATAGGGAAATGAATGAAATTTTTTCGTTAAAGAGCGCTTAAAAGAACTAAAGACTAAAATTTAAATTTTAAATTCGAGTCCCATCTATTGTTCGGTGCACATAACAAATAATGTAACAATGTATGTGTGCGTTAGCTTGCAGGTATCCAAGGCCAGTGTGATAGGTAGCGTTATTTTCTTTCTCTATTTAAACAGAAAAATTTTACGTCACACTTCTTGTTGCCGACGTTGCAGCACCTACGGTTACAATACTTGCTTGCAGCGTCCCATCTCGTCCACACATTGTGCATTCGATATATATTTATACTTAAAGATATAATCGCGTTTGTAGGCAACCTATTAAGTATGCTAGGTTCCTTGTTGGCTTGCTTAGCTCCGTTCTCTCGTTTATCTCTTTGCTAGTGTGAATCTTAGCAGAAAAAGCTTCAAAAATAGACAATAGAAAGTTCGTCTTAAAATTCTTATTCACTTTATAACTAATACTTATCTTATATTTCCCATAAACGTTTATTAAAGCTAGGAAAGTCATACTTTGCAAAAAGAAGAAACAAACAAGAACGATAGCAGTCAACCTACTGTGCTATTCTAGCATTAGATCAGTGTAAGCATTACAGACTTTTACTTAGCAATATCTGTCTGCATCACAATCATAATGTCAGCCCTAAAGTCTTATCTACTGAATGCCGTTAACATATCGACTCTATTTTAATTTTTGTTTTGAATTATTATTGTTATTATTATTATTATTATTAATATAGCCAGAGAATGAATTTTAAGACTAAAGTCTCAAAGCACTAGCATGTAAGGGCATCTGCTTTATTAAAAACGCTCCTGCATTTGAGATTTGAACCTATGAACCTTACCCACGAGTTGCTTGTCGAGACTCTCCAGTCAGTAAATACGTGAAGTAAGTGTGAATGTGTGCTCGCCTATAAAAAGATTTAGTTAAATTGAAACAACTAAGAAATTTTATATTGGGCTGGAACTGAATTGTTATACTAAAAAAGAAAAAAAAAGAAAATTTTTATATTTTGTAATATAGTATGGGCGTGGTTGATTTTTTTCTTTTATTATTTTCTTAGAATAAAAGTAAAAATTTATATCGTCCGTCTTTTTTAGTCTATGGGCGAGAACCCCAGAAAGTTGGGATTCATTCAAACGATACAAAGACTCGTCGACTTTATATTATATTGCGGCTAAGTCCTTTTGCCGATTTGACCCGTTTTCAATATGAACTTGCGGGCAATGGCTTGCCATGCATGTTTTTGCCAAATTTAAAGCAGATATCTCTACCTTCACAATCACGAGCATGTTTACCACGGCAATTGACAGGTAGATGTTTAGACGAAGTAGGAAACTTTTCTAGAAAGATTCGGATTAGATACTAATGAATAATACATAGATAGACTTTGTATGGTCTCTGAAGCTTCTTTTTCTTTGGCAGAGAGAGTCTGTTGCCGATCAAGGATACGCTTATTTTGTGGGATCTTTGCGGCTTCCGTCTGGATGTTGCAAACGTCTTGCACTCCTCATCCATCATTTCTATGATGAAAATAAAGAGAACTTTTATAAATTCAAGAGTATTTTGCTAGGCGATAAGATCGTTTAACTTCGCCATACTTGCAATATTAATAAATACTAAGATTATTACGGAAATGTCATCGTTTCAATATACGAATCGGTTGGAGTCTCTCCGATCCGTCTTTCTGCAAATATTATTGCAACCGTTAACATAAATATGATAAGACCTAATTATAAGAAAAAGCAGAAAAAACAAAAGTAAAAATCATGGTAGAAAATGTGACGATATATATATATATATATATATATATATATATATACATAAAGCAAAGTTTAATGTCGGTTATATACGGTCTCTTTAGTTGAAGAAGGTTGCACATAATTATGCACGCACACTCACAAACTTTGAGTATCAGTAAATGTATATTTTGGGTTTAGCAGCTAGCTTAACTTATAATAAAGTGCTTGCGTATATAAATAATACTTAAAAAAAAAAAGAAGAAAAAATTGAAAAATAATATTAAATTTGTTGATACGGAATATTTAAGAACGTTATTGTTCGGATTAAAAACGAGTTGAAGGCCTAATATTTTTAAATGTCAACGTATGTATTAAATCTATGTTTAAAAGCATCGACTGCTTAGTAGGTGAAGGTAATGACATTGCAATTAAAAAAACTTAAACAGACAAAAAAAAAAAGGAAAAGAAAAAGAAAACAACAAAAACAATAGCGAAAACATTTGTGTGGTTTATGTTTTATTATTTGTAATTAACGCAATTATTATCGATTTTCCATATGCAATTATTGATTTTGTAAACATGTAATAATAATAAGAATTGATGTAATTTACAGTAGAAATTAAGCTAAAGTTATTGTATATATCATCTCTATATTGATAATTGAAAAATGCAAATTTTAAGTTAAAGGTCGTGAATCGCACCTCGTAACTTGGCAAGCGTTTCATTTTTTTTTTTTTCTTTTTTGAGATGAGCAATTACTCAGACCATGTCCCCTATACGTGTAACAAAGTTAGTCAAAAAAAAAAAATGAGGAGAGAGAGAGAGAGAAGAAGAAGAAAGACACATACATACATATATATAGTGCATATAACTAAATTAAAACTATAATTAAAATTAGAGAATTTTATCTGATTAAGTCGTCATAGTCAAGTGTTAACGTAAAAATCCCAACGTAATCGGTACGTTACAGCTGCGTGGATGGCGTTCACTTTTGAACTTCGTCTGTGGACATCAACTAGGGGGGCGCGCGTCCTAAAATTCGGTTGCCTATCTCTATCTTAGCGATCATTAGCGTGCAGACGAACAAACAGACAAGCTCAGGTTCAAATTGATCTAGAAACTGGCAATGACTAGACTAAAGAGATTTAATATGTCTCTAAAAGCCATAATAAAGAGATTATCACACAAATGACACTAATGGATAAATATATAATTTTTCTAGATCTTTACTAATTAGTAAAGATGAGAGCGAAAGCAAATAATTGAAGGCAGAAATCGATTGGGAAAGGGATTCAACTTTTTAGATTCATCACAATGTAAATGGTTTGTGGAATCAAATTTCGCGATGTGCATATCTGTGCCTTACAAATATTAATGTATCATCTGTTTTAACAAAGCTCTGTGTCTACTTGAGATTGAAGTCGAGAAAAAAAGAAAACAAACAATGCCAACGTATGCCTAGCAATTTCAACGCTTTGAGCCTCCAAAGCAATTTTTCCATAAAAAAAATTTTTAACTTTTCAGCGTTGAGAACAAAGAATAGGTTTAAAGCGTTTGGAAAGTGCTCTGTGTTTTCTCGTTCGTTACAAATTGAAAACAACTTTTCTTGGAATTATTGCTTTTGATAAGAGAGTCTTTCTATAAGAACCTAGTGGGGTTGAACTCTAAAACTTGGAACTAAACTAAAAGGAAGATGATAAAAAGGAAGGAAAGTAATAAATATCACTACAGATGGAATTGAACAATATTTAAAGATGTAGGTGCTGTATAGCACAACTAAATTAAAAGTATTACACGATTCAATAAAACAAAAGGAATGTTATAGTAGATAATATTAGTAATTATATTTACGGGGAAGGGGGAACAACTGTAACAAGTAAGTGAGTCCATTGAACTATAAGAAAAATTAAAGCATCATCTGTAAATGCAATCTGTTTAAAGTTAAGAGCATAGACAGACATTGATGCTAGAGGCGTATCCGTGGAGCAGCACCCACTGCAGCACTGAATGACATTAAAAGAGCTCAGTGGCGGATTGAACAAATAAAGGCTGTTTCTATCACATATCACACAAAGCACCCCGAAAAGGTTCGGAAGCTGGTAGTTTGTCCGACAGCAGAAAAAACTAATCATTTTACGATATCGTGCAAATATACCGTGTATATATTATATATGAGATTCTCTGAAGTGAAAACTAGAAAGATGCTATGCTTGTAATCAATTTTGCAAACCCCCAAAATCTTTCGTCTACTTTTGAGTATAGATAGATCAATGAGCATTAATGTTTCATTTCAATATATCGGAAGCGTGCAAACTTCCTTTCTTCCTTGAACATACTCGTCAACAGTGTTTCAGTTGAAGGCAAGACATGCCAATGAATTAAATTTCATCAAAATAACTCCAAAAGTTATGAACTGTAAGTTAAAAAAATTCATGAACACATGCCAGAAAAACGGAGAGACATAAAAAGATATTATAGATGTAAGTTGATTTAGATAATGGTTTGACTTGGTTAGAAAGTGTTTTTGAATCCGTTGCCCGTGTTATTAAATATTCTACAGTTCTTGAAATAAGAGCTCTATATAGGAATTGGTCCGTTCCGATCCAAGAGGGATTTTCAATAGTGTTTATCCTTGTGCCAAAACACAACAAAATATCTCAAAAATTGCGCTCTGGAGATTGAATAAAAGACACGAGAAGGGCAGACAAGCTTAATTAAAAGTGGGTATATTTCCAGCCGTTTTAGGTGTCGCATACATGCGCACATATTTAATTCACTCTTGTAAGTTGGTTTGTACGTCTGGTAAACGTGTGGTGTTTTATTACTATAAATTGTTTACAGGTAAAAACGGATTGATTGATTGATTGATTATATTAAATGTCATTTTTAATTGTGATTATTTTTATTTGTTTTTCGAAAATGGACTTGCCCCTGTTTCAGAATAATCCGCTTAATAAATTCTTGAAGATTCTTCTCTATCGTTTTTACTATGAATTTGCAACCGGATATTTGGAAATCAAGTACACTGTAATAATATTTAATTTTATATGCAAACGCTCGTTAAAAATATATCGTTTCATTTTGCGTAAATTATTGAAGTTTCCGCGGAATGGAATATAAAAGAAATAATTTTGATTTTTGGTTTTCCTTGCAGTTCTGCAAAATGTTGACTATGGAGCCCTCTAAAGGTGTGGTTTTAAACACAATGAAGGCGCAAAGCGACAAAGGCAATCTAATGAGATGGCGCAAAAAGTTATTTCGTATTATCGAAAATATTACTGTTGAACCTATAGTCGGCGCATATATAATGCCGAGTGTTTTATCAAATTTGGCTACGCAAAATTTAAATTTGGAAAAGGCCTGTCGGGTCAATATGAACTACGACGAAGAGATCTGTGATGCTTTAACAAGACGGGAGACAGCAAATTATACTCTGTAAATCAAAAAAAAAAAAAAAAAAAAAAACAAAATATAATAATAATAATAATAATTATTTTCTGAATATGAAAGATACGCTTCACTTTTTCTTTGATGTAGTGAGGAGGAGACTATACAAAAAATGGTTGCCCATATGGTGGCTTGGAAAACTGTGATTCAATCTGTATTTCCCTGTTTACTAATATTGTTCTGGGGTTCGTGGAGTGATCGACATCATCGGCGAAAACCTTGCATACTTATACCCATCGTGGGAGAATTTTTGGCAACAGTGGGCCTTATGTTGTGCGTATTCTTTGAAAATACGCCAATGGAAGCTGCCGGTCTTTCGGAAGCCATTTTTCCAGCTCTTACCGGTGGTTGGTTCGTTATGTTAATGGGGGTCTTTAGCTACATAGCTGATATAACTACCGAAGAGGAGCGGACTTTACGCATTGGCATATTAAATGTTTGCTTCTCCGTGGGCGTACCCATAGGTACAGCGTTAAGTGGCGTTTTGCTAAAGTAAGTGCATAATTGTTATTTGCTTTGAAAATTGCAGCGAATTATTTCTTGTTCTCTTATTTAGAAAAATTGGCTTTTACGGCGTATTTAGCATATCAGCCACTTTATATATGATATCTCTACTTTACGGCTTCCTAATTTTGCCTGAGCCTCGAGCTAATTGTAAATCATCAGCTGAAAAAGAGAAAAAGAAAAACTTATTAGCCGACTTCTTTGATAAAAATCATGTTTTGGAAACTTTCCAGGTAGCTTTTAAAAAAGGTGCCAACAAAAGACGCAAACGTGTTATATTACTAATGGTTGTAGTTATGGTGGTTATTGGACCCATTTATGGTATGGTTACTGTCAAATAAAAAAATGCAAAAAAAAAAAAAAAAAAAATTACGGTTACATTAATGCTTTTGTATACTCTAAGGTGAAATGAATGTCATGTATTTATTTACGCGTTACCGTTTCAACTGGAGTGAGGTTGAGTATAGCATATTTAATACATTTGCTGTGGTTACGAGCCTTATAGGTAGGATTAATTAATTGACTTTCTATGATAAATTAATTTGTATTTGTTGTCTCCTCCCTCTTAAGGTGTTTTATTCTGTGTCGGTATTCTGTCTCATAAGTTAAAATTGGATGACGCTCTTGTAGGCGTTATATCAAGTACATCAAAGATTCTGTCCGGTTTCGTTTATGCATTTGCAACGGTGTCTTGGCATATGTATGTTGGTGCTGTTGTCGAAATATTTAATGGTACTTCCTTTATAGCTATGAGATCAATGGCCACCAAACTGGTGTCCAAAGATGAATTAGGCAAAGTGAATTCTTTATTTGGTGTCGCCGAAGCTTTAATGCCCGTCGTATATGCTCCGATGTATAGCACTTTATACGCGATTACTCTTAAAGTATTTCCGGGAGCATTTTTTGTATTGGGTGGTGCTATCACCATTTTGGCTGTAATAATATTCCTGTAAGTTTACATTCATCAGGCATTATATTTTAAATACGCAAAGAGTTTTCAACTTTATTATTGCTCATGAAGGTGGATGTATAATTTCCAACGTCAACAACTGCGCCAACTGCGTTCAGATAGTATCGAGCAAACTGATAAAACTCTCTCTGCGATTAACGGAAATTCAAATGAAAACAATAACACAATTGAAGTGATTGCATTTGTTAGCGAAGTAAAGGGAGGCTTAAATGGAGCCGTTCATAGCGTTTTTCAGGATGGTCTTGAACGTGGTCTTGTAAATAAAACTTTTGAACCGGATATTATGAATTCAAATAAAATTGAGCATAATACGTATTTATAACATGTATGTGACGAACATGTACATATCTGTATGTATTCAGGTTTTTCACAATAAAAGTGAGAGCAGTAGATGGCATTTTAAGTTTCTTCTTTAATATTTTCGATTAATGAACACGATGACGACGATATATATATATATATATATATATATATATATATATATATGTATATATGTTTACGGACAGAGGTTCTTGTTCCGTTTGTAGGATATATAGAAATACGCTTTAATCACCGTTATGTATTATATTAAGTATGCCTGTTGGCCTTCTTGGCGTTCTGATACTTCTAACGACAAGGAGAGGTATACCAGAATTTTTGTATAGAAACTATTCGTCTATTACACTTTACACCACTTTTGACATAAGGTTATGTTAAATTTATGCGGATATATGCAACAGCGAGAAGGACTGGAAAAAGACCTTTTATTATACCGATGAATTAGAGGCACTTTCCGCATCCATGTTTGTACATCTTGTCTTATTGTGTTCAACCTACAGGTCTCAATTTTCCAGATTTTTCGATGAAATTTGATGCACATGTTTGGACGCGTTTTGGCCTAAGCACGAGCGCTATTGAAAATGTTTCGGATCGGATCAATTTTTCGGCAAATTTCAATATAAAGCCTTGTTTTGGAAGATCGTTATATGATTAGCACTATCCAGCGAAGAGGTGTAGTGTGTTTAACTGTGAGCCGTCCCCAATTATACAGTGTTTTTACTTATTGTATGAAAATAATTTCAGTTTTAATTTTCGTTCATTGCGATATTCAACTACAACTTATATATTAATGGTTAATTTGCACTTATGTACAAATTATAATAACAGATATTAATTATTATTGTTTTTTAATTCCATGTCTTATGTACAATATTAAAGTACATTAGAACTATGAACATGTAGGTTAATAAACTTAAACTTAACTTCTGAAAAGCATTATAAAAAATATAAATGAAAGGAAGAATTAAATGCTAAGTTCACCCACCAAGTATGATAAAATGTGCAATAATTCCATAAACAAAGAGTGAAGAAGTGGGTGGAAGTAAATGGAATACTGACAAGGCGGACACTACGTCAATGAAGTATATTTGAAGATGGGTCTATAAGACTAATGGAGCGTGACTTAGTAATGTACGGTTCCACAAGCTATTGTTTACCCCGACTATTATTTCACAAAGTCAAGAGAAGTCCGTACACCATATTGATTACGCGCTCAGTATGCAGATTAAAGCGCAAACGACAATCAAAAATGGTATTCAGATTTAAAAAGGAGAGGATGCAAGTGAATCTGGTAAATGCATTAGCATATGTACAAAGCTAATCATCTATTAAATGTTATTTCTTTTAACATTTATCGCGATTAAGTGACATGAAATTGAAGTCACACCCTTCCATTTGTAGATTCTAGTCGAATTAGAGGACGCGGATATGTCCAGGCTTGTTGCAAGATAGAGTAATTTTGACATTATCGGCCGACATGAGAATATTTAAATGTCGTATGGCCAATGGTAAGTCATTGTAAGGTGGTGTTAGGCAAACCCTAAGCACACAATAACATCTTTCGATATTACGGACTTAAATGAAATATTCCCAAACTCAATGCCTTAAATACGAGGTTGATCAATTCGGGAAGTATCAGATTGAGATTAATTGTAATAAAACCCTTTACTAAAGTCAGTATGGATCATATCAGTTTGGAGGTGGTTAGAAAGCGCTTAATTTATTCAACATGACAGTTTCAAAATCTTTGTCGACGGGGACGGTCCTTTAATGAGAGATGTTTTGATCAGAGGATATAATTTAAATTATATATAAAAAATAATAAAAATTAATCTTCGCACTATTAAGCGTTCAAAAGGCTTTGGTAACATACTAAGCTAAGAAATGCTTCTGCTATTATCGACCAGGTGAATATTGTCGACATTGTACGGGGGAGGCTGCAACTACAAACCCATGCGGCAGCGATTGCGATGCTGTGTGTCTGTATCCATAATCAAGGGATAAATTTAAAATCATAGTTATTAAAATAGAGATGTCGTCCACACAGATTCTCAAAATTATTGAGCGAATACCATCCGGATTTAGTGAATACGAGGAGTGCAGTGTCATTAAGTCGTTCTGTATTTCGTCTTCGGAAACTACGAAATCTTTAATGTGAGGCTACTTGAAAAATATGGACCTATTTTGTACATTAGTCCACTGGAAACAAAGCACAAGCATATTGCAGCGTTATGGAGCCATAAAGTTGTTAGTAAAACCTTTACTTTCTTTTTTGTCTTAATAAAGTTATAAAAGCGTTTACGATTTGGAAATGCGGCAAGCTTAACTATATTGAGGCTGCCACTTTTCTCAAAAAAGTTCTTATTTTTTTGGCGGCAAACCAATCATTGAGCGATCTTCGTTCATTTTCGCAGGAAGTGAAGTGCTGTTCAGCAAATGCGTGTCTCATCGATGCAAACAAATGATAATCCCCAAGTCTCCAGATTGATGGGTAAGCCGTATTTTTGGCCAGTTTTCAATTGAGTGCTTCGTGCTACGTGCTGCTGAACCAATTTAACTGTATGCATGGATGAACACGTGGCATGTAAAAGATTACCTTACGCTGTATATTTTTTAGTATTTTACTCGTTTTTGAACAGCGAACGGTTCAAACCGAATAATTTTTATTAACTATTTGACCAAATTTTGACAGGTAATAACTAGCCTGGCTGCACCAAACAGGGAAGATAGCCTTTCTGTCGAAGAGTTTTGGTCTTGAAGTCGATATGGACGGTACACCTACATCTATTCATGAATTTTTAGGCTTACGATTCTCAAAGTAGATCCAGTTTTTATCCACAATCAGTATAGGAGGCAAAAATACTGTTTTTTGTATCGTTCGAGCAAAGAAAGACTGCTATCAGCCAATGCTCTTTATTTGTCATAAAACGCGATATTTTCTTTGTTAGAAAAAGATATTTCTAGGTAGCAATAGGTTTTGGTAATACGGCTGCCTCTTGTTCTCATATTAAAAAATATTAAAAAAAAAAGCAGAACTTCAGACATGTGTGATCACTACATATAGGGTTAGGATTATCTGGGTGGATGAATGGCGGATATTTCATATGTATACATTCGGGAATAGGGGATTGCGAAGATAAGCGTAGCTTAAGAATGACCGAAATTCTCCTACGAAAATCTCAAAGGGTTAAATTACTAAAACAATAAAATTTTTTTTTTATATATGTTCATTGATGGTTTATGAGGGACTTATGTGTCAATCAACAAGAAAATGTTTGCAGTAGAGTGTAGCGCGGACTTTTTACTTACATCTTTTACTTTTGTAGGAAACAATCTGAGCTTAGCTTTAGTGATTAATCAACGAGTAAAGTGTGATGTATATTTGTTGATTTTCCAATTTTTGCCTTTAGTATGCCTTGACTACTGAATTGAGTTACGCGATCGGCGTGCATCGAAACTGAATGGGCATGACGTTACGCATTTTCAGAATTTTAATGAATGCAGCGATTTTCAGTTCTTAATAAACACGTTTCGTTTTGTTATTCGTTGCAGTGTTTCTTGTGTGTTTTTTTAATACTTTGCTTGCAACGAAACAAAATATTTTAAAATGCTTATAAGCAGTTAACACCTTTACACGTTACACTTCGCTTTTTACGATACGCTGACCTATATGTATATACCGCTATTGCTTAAGTTCTTATTGCTTAAGTATCTTATTATATTCCCATTAGTATATTATTACATTGTATTCGGTAGATGGATATGAAAAAGGGAGACGACCTTTTGCTTTTGTTTCGTTGAGTTTGAAAGTAGAATGAATACCTGTGGAAAGAAAGCCTTTGCGGGTTTTTTTTTTTTTACATTGTTATATATAATTATTCTTCTTAACGTGATAAATGGTGTGAATTACGTCTACTTGTGGTTATTTCAATTTCCATTCAAGGCCGTACTATACATTTGAGAGTTTTTATATATATGCAATTAATTAAACAAAACCTTTGCTACTCCGTCGAAAAGTAAACCAGAGATAAGTGAGTCAGTTAATGTTTAACCTAAACACTTGAAGCGATAAGTCAAATGCGGTTATTATTGGATATAACGCGCGTCACAAAGTGCAATCAATTACGTTGCATATCTAGCTTTATAATTCAATTGTGATCAATCCTACGGATAAAATGCTCTACTATTTATATCTATCTTCTCGCCTAAGCTTTTGTATTTGTTTCTTCTTCCAACGCAAAATTTATTGTTTTGCTTGCTATCGATTAACTACGGGTGATGCCAATCAATTTTCTTGTAATTCAGAAAGAAATTTGTTAATTGACTTAGATCGGTACCATTTCATTCATCATAGAATGGAATCGGATTAATGCGATAGCTAAATTTTTGTTCATAATGTTTATTAGTTCATTAAGCTAATCGTAAGAATTCCCGATTTGTTTTCTTATAATCGTAAATCTAATAAAATCTTTAAATCATTTCCAGATTAGATATTTTAAGCAGGTCGCGTCCGCTTAGCTAAATATTTTGCTTTTTTTTTTAAATTTGCACCAAATTGCAGCTGGAATTAATGTCAAATTTCCTGCCCCCTCTGTCCCCAATAGTTAATGAGGTGCGTTTGATTGCTTTTATGTAAAGAGTGCACTTTTGCATTTGCAAATAACCTAAAATATTACAGTCGGTAAGGGTTGACTACTACTATATATCCTACACACTTTATGTCGAGTATAATTTTTGATTTAATTTCGGTACAAAATAACAACAACTATATTTTGGTCTCATATAAGGGCTTAATTTCAAAGGCAACGCTTACAGAGGTGTAGGCGCGAAATTTATGCGGTTAATTTTTTCGCTAAGAATTTTATTTTTCCAGTCATGTTCCAGTCGGAATACTACAAAATTAGAAGAATTAGCTACCATATAAACATCCATTCTTCATGAGAGCCTTTCGATAGTTAGGTGTCCGAAAAATAGGCCTACATAAAATGGGCAAACATTTAGACCTTAGTGTTATATAGAGAGTTTTTTTAAAAGGAAAGAGTATTAAAACTTAGAGAAGCTGCCTTACATGCCCCTCCCATTCACAACTCTGTTATGAAGAAATAATCGTATTTTCTTAGC